GGAGCAACTGTGGACGCAAATTTCGCCCTATCCTCTGTAAACAGTAAATTTAGGTTCCCGGACTATCTGTATTCCATAATGACTACATGCCCTATTTCTTATGCTGCAAATTTGCCGATTTCCGTTGTCAAATGTTCTACTGGCGCCGGCCTTCGTCAGCTTGTCAGGAATACCAGCCTCCCGCTACAGGTCTTTTAGTCATATTTTATTCCTTAAATAATCCAAAAATAACCCTTTTCAGGTCAAGTCTCCGGTACCGGTGTATTTAACACAATCGACAATGACAAGTTCATTTTCAACGAGCCAGGGGTGTTCAACTTCCTTTACGTTCCGAAAACTGTACGCACACCAGAGGTGCGCGTACAGATACGCATGGAACGATATCCGAATAGAAAGGTGACGTCATTCCACTTTTCCGGCCTAGGAATTTCTTATATTTTGTCAATATTTTTTTACTCCAGGTCGATTTTGGCTTGCTTGGGCGCTATATCGCGCAGTCAGAACTTGTACAACCTACAAATGCGACGGTAGTTACGGGTAAGATTTTATTTTAAAATAAGCTACCATGCAAAAGGAAGAGCGCTGTGATTGGTTAAACCCTGAGCGCTGCGATTAGCTGAACATTGAGCACGGTGCTTGATTTAACACTAAGTGCTGTGAAATGGTTGACTGAGCGCCATGTGTGATTAGTAGCATAAGAGCTCTGGTTGTCTGAGCACCGTAATGGGTTACACACTTAGCAGCGCTGTGATTGGTTGCACACTAAGCGCTATGATCGCGCTGTGATTGGTTGAACATTGAGCGCTCTGATTAGCTATCGCAAGAAGGCTGATGGACTGGATAATACCGTGATACAGTATTATTTAAATGCCAAGAATAAAAACCAGTAAAGGTTTAGAAGCGATGTAGAACTACAAAAGGTCCAATACTTTGATGATTCAAGTCGATCGGTAGCCAATCACAGCAGTCCGCTTCGCCCTCTTAGCGTAAAAGTGGCCAATCACTGCACTTGCTCCACCGCTATTAGAATACATTAGCTTTTTGAGAAAGTTTTTTTACATAATAATTTCTTCAGGAGTCGTCATTGAAGCCACCGGAAGCGACCGTGTTTACGTACTGGCCAGAAAAGACACTAGACGTTTCCGCTACCGTACCGACGTTATTGTCGGGAATATTCTGCGATATTTTGATACGATCAGATTGCAGAGATTCGACGGTACGGTAGAAGTTTTTTTT